TATGTTGAACTTGATGAACCTCATTTTCATTTATATCACTGTCAGCAGGGGTTTTTGAACAAGACAAAATTGGAAAATTCAAACAGGCAGCTACATACTTTGGTAACTTTGGGAGCAGGTTATTCTCTTTTAACATTTTTATAGTTGAAGTTATTTCCATAAAATCATTTGAAAAGTTTAGCTTCGAGGAGCTGGATACTTTTTTGGTTTTTTTAGCTGTAGTGTTAGTATTAGTACTACTAGAACTAGAGTTAGTAAAGTTAGGACAAAACTTCAGGACATCTTTCAAAAACAATTCTTTACTTTCCGAAATGTAGCTAGGAGCGTAATGTTCAATACATTTCCCAATAAATTCATTAGAGTCCAGAAACTCAAAGTTATTTAACAAAAAAAACATTAATTCATTAATAATTATTTTTGATTCCGAAATGTCGGAATTTACGTCCGCCATCATCCAAAGATAGTCTTGTCCAATATGGGTTGTTATATCTGCATTGCACTATATAGGTAAAGGAGAGCTATGTGTGGTTACAAGCAGAGCTGTACAAATTACGATGAAAGAAGTAACACAGAGCTAATAAGGAATAAGACTGGGATGATTTCAAGATTTGTGAATACACCAAAAAACAATCAAATGCTAAAAGCTCTTCCGAAAATAAAAGCAAAAAGGCGGATCTTTGGAGCATATTAAACTTTAATAACTTCTAACAACCTATGTAATGTTAAGTTCTATTCAAAGATTTCTCAAAGAAACCATTTATGAATATAATTTTAATCTATGTACTACTATTTTGCATGCCTATTTTAACGTGTCTATATACAATAATAGTACATATTTTATAATACAAATTTATAACAAAAAGTTTACTATAAATAAGGAAGAGAAATTACATTTGAAAGAAAGGAAGAGAAATTACATTTGAAAGAAAGCGTAACATGTCGCTATTGCGTCTGTACAGGTCAGCCAATGAATAAATATTATAATTTTATATCAATGAAATGACAAAAGTGAGCAAACATGAAAGAATGTGTTGTTTACGTATATGTATGTATGTATGTATGTATGTATGTATGTATGTATGTATGTATGTATGTATGTATGTATGTATGTATGTATGTATGTATGTATGTATGTATGTATGTGCAGTGTAATGTATGTATGTATGTGCAGTGTTTGCCTCTTGTAGATATTAACTTAACTGAATGTGAGTGAGTGAGTGAGTGAGTGAGTGAGTGAGTGAGTGAGTGAGTGAGTGAGCGAACGTGAAAGGGTATGATGCAGGCAGCAGTGAAATAAATGCAAATAATTTAATTTTTTCTATAAAAAAATAAACAAATATACACGAGATTGCATTAAAAACACACACACACATATACACACACACACACACACATATATATATACATATCTTTGTCGTTACATTTCACAGTGTACATGTACAATATATAAAGTAATATATATGCAAATACATAAGGCTGTTCAAAAAAGTAGAAAGTAGAAAGAAACAACAACCACGTCATCCATCCTCTACTACTGCCAATCAAAACTACAACACAACCTTCGTCAACGCAAGCATTACTATCAAGTCGCCACTCAATCAACATACCAGGATAAGACCTTCATCACAAGCAAGACACCTAAAATATATTAGAACTCAATAAAACTTTAACATTTACTCAGTTTAGTTTACTTTTTAACGACGATTACTTAACTAACTCACTAAGTCATTAACTACTCCGTTAATAAATTAATTTATTTATTTGACCTTTTAAACCATTACTTTATTTTATTTTCAATACTTCTCATGCTTAAACATTTTTTTCTCCGTTATTTATTTTTTTTCGTTATCATTTCATACTATTGCCTTGCATGCTGTAACAGTTTCTGCGTCTGTCAGATTTAGATTTTTTTTAGAAAATAATGAAATAAACAAATAAATAAATATCAGTTAAAATTTTCAACTTATCCTAGAAACATTTTACATTTAAGACTTGACATTTGATAAATATCACATATACATCATTACCTTTATTTTATGTATATAAGCATATTTATTACAAACACTGGGGGTTTGTGTTTTCAAGTGTGTGGGTTGGAGTACGTGAATCCTTGAGTGATGATGCATGCATACATTAACTAATTTTAAATTTCATCGTAAAAATTTAATCATCACACTCACCGCAATCATGGTTGTGCTAATAATACTCTCACTTTACGAGCTGTGTGTGTGTGTGCGCGTTGCCATGCCAACTGATTGAAAAAAATCAACATAATGTAGAAAATTTCTCCCGGTTAACCTTGAATTTTGATTGGAATATCCACATAATTCTTATCACCATCATCTTCATCATCGTAAACATCCTCATAATCATCGTCTTCATCAATATAGTTTTCATTATCTTTTTTCCAGTCAAATTACAAAATTTTATCTATTTTTAAGTAAGCGGTAACTGCGTATGAGTTTTTGGCATGAATACCTGATGGAAACAATGATGATGGCTGGGAGTCATTAGAAGAACCTAATTTACGACCTTCTGGAAAGCAGGATAGTCTCAACGTTCAACAAATCTCAAATTATTAATTATGTCAGTCTGTCAAACAAATCTTGTCACAGCTAACGTAAAATATTTTTTTGCTACTGAACATTTCAAAGATTTTGGGTGTGTGTGTGCGTGAGTGTGTGTGTATGAATAAAAAAAAAAAATTTAAATTTTAGCTTTGCATAAAATATCGATTTTGACGAAATATGGAAAATAATATAATTAATAATTTGAATACCTATATTTGACTAAAATTTATTCAAACTCACGCATAATACTATTTAACACTTACTCTTCATCATGATTATTATTGAACATTAACTAAAGTTATAACCCAGACCTTACTGTATCTCTTCAATTCATTGACAAAAGAAATACTCCGATGTCATAATACTAATCACAGGTCTAAATTCGACACACCTCAATTTTATCAAAGGCAATTTCCTGTTGAAGAACAAGTACCCTAATGTTTTTCTGCATCCCATTAGAAACTATAGATGAGAAATTCTGAAAACTTCTACAGAAAACATATAAAACTAGAGATATAAGCTAAGAAAAATGAATTATTTGTAAAGATAAACGACAGATTGTGAACGGATTATTTGGCATGAGTATTTGATGGAGATAATTTAGACATAGAAAAAAGTTCATGACAGATATATGAAGAAGTGTAGAAAATATTAGATTTTTCCTATTATAAAATAGATAAAAACCTAGTCTTATCCAGAGGTAAACGTTTTTGAACGATGTGCCTAAAAGCATGAAAGATTCTTTAAAGAGTAAAATGGAAAGGTTCACGAAAACCTCGAGGTTCAGTCTGGGTGAAAACTTCATTCGATGACTTGTGCTTAAAAAACAGATGAAAATGATTTATGAATACGGATATGTGTATATAGATAAATCTATAAATATAAATTTAAGATAAAAATATTGCAATAATATGTAAATTTTTAAAGTTCAAAAATCAGTATAAACATTTTATAAATATTAAACATGAAATTTAACAAAATAAATAATAATTAATAAAAATTTATTTTTTATGACATAACAAAAAAGCAGTAACTCATAACAACGAAGCACACATAAAAATCTGTCTCAATTACATAAGTAGATAAGGACTCTAAAATTAGAAAAGTCAATAAACAGACTGACGGGGTATAATAAAAATGATTAAGTTGATGTTGGTGATGAAGATGATGATGGTGAAGTAACATCACATAATGACGTAAACTGTCGGTAAAACCCACACCCTCACCTATACTCCAAAATGAAAAATTTACATAGAAGTGTATGATATTCATCAGGAGGCATTTCATTTACATAACAAAACTTCGTCACAGTTGTAATATAATTGTAATATAATTTAATTTTTTTAAAATCGTCCTCTTAAACTCAACTGTAATCATATAAATGTAATAATCAAATAATAATCATCGAAAGCACCCTTACAATCTCCATCTTAAACACAATGATATATTGTCATGAAAACACACACACACACACACACACACACACACACACACACACACACACACACACACACACACACACACACACACACGCACGCACACATACCGGCGCTTGCTTGCACACACAGAAACACACACACGCAAAACAAACAAACACACACACACACAAACACACACAGATATATATATATATATATATATATATATATATATAATTATATATATACATACATACATACATTCCGAAACCGACATACCGGAACGATATCTTAAGATATGATGAAGAAAAATTTAGTGATTTATTTACATATTTATCAATGGTACAATACAATGCAAAGCATGAAAAAATAACTTGTACAAATACTTGAACATCTGGCTGCTTATATAACAGCTGTTTCATCATCTCTGTTCATTGCTATCATCACCATCCCCACATCATAATGGAAATTATCATCATAGTGAAAACCATATCACCACATCATCATCATCATTACTCTAGCATCATTACCAACTACAGCTATCAGAACAAAAACAAGGGTATAAGAGGTTAAGTTATAAGAAATGTGTTAATTTGATAATTATCACGTTTTACATGCAGTGCATTAATTAATTTCTTTAATGAGTCGAAAGAAAAAAACCAATACCACAAATTAGGCACAATCAATGTTAAAAATTAACCATAGCTTAAGCAGATCACCAAGAGTGAGTTAATTAACACTTTCATTTCATCTATTCATTCCTCGCTATCATTAAATGAAACCACCAACATTACCACTTTAATAATAATCATCAAAATAGAATTATCAACCACATCACTACTATCAAATTATCATGATGATCATCATTGCCATTGACTTTATCACCCTTATAATCGTCATCATCGCCATCACCATCATCGCTATCATGATCATGAACATCGATATCATGATCATGACCATCATCATCAAAATCGTCATGACAGATTAAATAAAGAAGAAGGAGGAGACTAACTATTTGGCACAATCAATCAGTTGGTACTCGTTGGACCTCTCGAAGCATGCCCTCACCCCCTTGTCCTTCCATAATGTTTCAGTGTGCATATAGAACTCCTGTGTTGTCGTCGGCAACATTTTCAAGTTTAAAAAGTGCGAGTTACATTTGAATAGAATTAAATGAGACAGAGTAAGCAGTTTGAATCAACACTAACTTCTACAATATGTGCTCAAAACAATTAACCCTTTCTAAAGGTCTAAATTACAAACTTTTGTAATTGAATTTAAAATGACAAACAAATGGATCCAGTACACATTTTCAATGTTTAAAGACCAATGAGAGGCAGTCAAAAACATGTGAGGATATCTTAATAAAACGCAGAAGTAGTACACATTTTGAGTTAGTGGCATGTGACGGAGTCCCGCAAGCAAATGAGTATGATCAAACAAGACAACAAGGTATGAGTCAACATGATATGAGTCATCTAGAAGTTAATACCCTGTCTTGCACTCAACTTAATTTCAGTTCAGATATATGTCATGAAACTCATAAATGAAATAATTATTATGCAGTAATAAAACCAGCATTAATACAACAGCAACAACAATCGTGATAATGAACAATGTTGATCATACAAGTACAACACATAATTAAATATTAAAAAAAATATATAATAAAAAAACATGGGAAGAAATGGGCCAACTGGTGTAAAGTTGAAGTCCTGCTTGCTTGCAACTTGTAGGATGTAATCAACAGATGGCTGGTTGGAGGGGTCGGCCAGTGCTACTGGAGGATCAATTGTGCTCATCGAACCAACTATCGTCTGTTTTGCAATTACAAAAATTAATTATTATATTGGCGTTAATTTAACAGTACAGGGTCTCAAAGAGATACAAAAATACAAGTCTTATAGGAGTAACAACAAAGAAATTGATAGTTAAATTAAATAATATATAAATGCATGTATGTATTATATATGGCCTTTGTATTTATACATCCTTACGTATGGTATTAACTCAAATTTCTGTTCTCACTTTTTAGAATTACCGGTCCTCAGAAAGCATATGAAAACACGTACTGTATGATAAATAACATTATACTGGCTCTCCAGATTATGTCAAGCAATGTTTATCAGGAGATTAAAAAAATGTTTAAGATTATTTCAGTCTATATATAGAATATCAATTAAAAGATCAAACAACATGGTATAACGCTGATAAAGGATATCGTCACTTCATTTAATGTTTGAGTGCTGCCTAGGAATGAAACTGTTGAACATTTAATGAAATGCTGACAAACATTCCATTCTTCATACATTTTCAATACTAAATATTTAATTCTTCAACATTTATCATCACTAAATAGAATTTAATTTGGTATTCAAATAATATATCATGCTAAAATGTCAAACTTGCTTAATTGAGCTAATCAAATAAAAAAGAAGAATTTAATGAAAATGGCTTGAAAACGAAATAAAACAACTTAATTCCCATTTCCAATATCGCAGATTTATATATGTATATATAAAATTAAATATAAATAATTAAATAAATAAATATATATTTATATATATATATACTGTCATGGCGTCGACACGTGCGGTTCAAATTAATGAACTTTCGTTTTATTTGTACAATAATTTAAGCTCGTTGGAAAATGTTTCTTTTATAATTTAGACGAATTTAATACTGGTAAAAAAGTTCTTCTGAATGATCTGGAAAACTCTAAAACGGATAATTCTTGTTTTAAACTTACACAGAGAGCTAACAATAAATATGACAAGTTGTTAGACATTATTGATATTGTTAAATTTTGCACGGACAAGAAAGTGGATTTACCAACTTATGTCGCTGCAGATTTTTCGAAAATCCCGGAACCAATATTAGAACATTTTCTGAATTTATTTGAATTAAAATTTAAATCATTGGAAACTAATTTAAATAAACGTATAACGGAGATTGCACAAATAGCAAATAACCTAAAGTTGAACAATTCTACTGTGCACTCTCAGCATGTCGTTCCAATAACGTTAAATGCGCGCGACATAAAAAATAATACTTCAAATCTTTGGTCTGATAAAGTTATGCAAGAAAAATTAATTGATACTGATAAAGTTATTCAAAAAAATTTAATTGATAATGATTCTCAAAAAACTTTATCTACGGATGCTGACGATGGTTTTCAATTAGTAAAATCAAAAAAAAGAAAAAATAACTTATCTTCTTCTCAGCCAGGTCAACCTAGTAATAACGAACCTGCTATGAAACGCTCGTCGATAAAAACCTTTGGTGCTGGCAACAACTGTCCTTTAAAGTCCTCTAAGACAATTGAAAAAAGAGCTACGTATTACTTAAGAAATGTCGAATCTTGCAAAAAAGAGGTTATCGAGAATCATCTGAAAAGCAATAATATTTTATTCATACACTGCTTTCCAGTTTTTCGCAAACGCAAAACTGACGATGCAACTGAAGTCGATAAAAATACACAACAACAGTCAACAGCATTTAAAATAATTCTGCCTAAGGACGAATGCCAAAAATTACTTAATCCAGAAATTTGGCCTAAGTATAGCTCCTTACATGAGTGGGATTATGATTACTCGAACAATAAGATCTTCAATCATGGATCACAACCATGATTCCGAACATCTTAACCACGAATCCAATATTCATGGTAACTCTCTTTCCTTAGTGATATTGATCCAGATGATAACTTGCTAAATAATGTTAACGGGGACTGTCCTCTTCTGTCGCCAGAGGAGGTTGAACCATTTATTGACGCAGGTGTATTTTCGATTATTCATATTAATAGTAGGAGTTTAATTAATAAAATGACTGAAATAGGCACTTTTATTGAATGTTGTAATAATAAATTTCATTTAATAGCTATAACTGAAACATGGTTGCATAATGACAATGCTAATTTAATTAACTTGCCTGGCTTTGACTTTGCTTTCAAGAATCGTGTAGATGGTATTGGTGGTGGTGTTGGTTTGTTCGTTATTAATTGCCTTAAATATGTTATCCGTGAGGACTTATATTTATCGCCAACTTTTGAATTACTAGCAGTTGAAGTATTTATTAATGGTGATTTAAATTGCTTGATATATGTTATGTATCGTCCTCCTAACTCTGATCCTATGTTATTTATAAATGATTTATGTACTTTATTATCAAAAATTAAATCTGATTCATTTAAATTTATATATTTTATTGGTGACTTTAACATTGACTTATTAAAATGTGACTATAGAAATACTTCTACTCAATTTGTTAATTTATTTCACGCCTTTAATTTTATTCCCTTAATTTCTGTTCCTACTCGTGTCCTATTGCTAATTCATCATTAATCGACAATATTTTTACGAATAATTTGAGTTCTCATAAATCAGGTGTAATTTACTCTTCTTTGTCTGATCATTTTCCTGTATTTACATCTTTTGTCCTGTCGTTTGAAAATAATCCCTCTAATTCTTATACAAAATCTTTTAATTATAAGTGTTACAACATTGCAAAATTAAACCATTACCTAAAGACTTTTGATTGGAATGTTGTTTTAAGTTGTTCAGACACTGATACAGCTTTTGAATTGTTTTCTAATATTTTTAAACAAGCTGTTATTAAATTTTGTTTAGCAACTCATAAACGAACTCGCAAGAAAAAACCCTGGATTACCAAGGGTTTGGTTATTTCCTCTGTAGTTCTTTGTCTGACCAATTGTTATATAAAAATTACAAAAATAGGCATAATGCTAAAGGTACCTGGAATTTATTGAGGTCATGTATGGGTATGAAAAAAATTCAATCTTATAATATTACTGTGGATAACGGGTTAATAAAAGATGACTTGAGCTTATGTAACCATTTTAACAACTATTTTTCTAATTTTGTTAATTGTAGTCATTCATTAGGAGTGAAAATGTTAGTCATGGTTATCGTAAGTATTTGGATGTTCATGTTTCAAACACTTTTGTTTTATTTGATTGTTCCTTCCTTGAAATCATTGATTCTATTAATAATTTTAAAAATTCTTATAGTTCGGGTGATGATTGTTTTTCAAACTTTTTACTAAAAAAAAACTTTTAATAATATTATTATTCCTTTACAACATTTAATAAATTTGTCTTTTAATAATGGTTATTTCCCTAAATGTTTAAAGATTTCTAGGGTTATACCCTTGTTTAAATCTGGTAATAGGCATATTATTAATAATTACCGACCTATATCTATTATTTCTAGTTTAGCCAAACTTATTGAAAAAATTGTTCATAATAGACTTTCTAATTTTTAAAATTCTAATAACATTTTCTGCTCTAATCAGTATGGTTTTCGTCCTAAACAATCTACACAATTTGCTATTGCTGACGTAATAAATTATGTTTCTCTTGCTCTTGAGTCTAAAAAATTCTCTATTGGCGTTTTTATTGATCTCTGTAAGGCTTTTGACTCATTGGATCATAAAATTTTACTAAATAAATTATCTAGATACGGTATAAGAGGAATAGCTTATAAATGGTTTTATTCTTATCTGCATGAACGTTATCAATATGTCTCTATTAATAATTCTGTGTCTCAACTGTCATCTATTGTATCAGGTGTTCCGCAAGGTTCTATTTTGGGTCCTCTATTATTTAATATTTTTATTAATGACTTTATTAACTCTTCTAGTGTTTTAAAATTTGTACTTTTTGCCGACGATACTACTTTACTTTTTTCGCATTCTAATCTTGATTTATTGGTTTCTACTATTAATAATGAATTAATTCATGTCTATGATTGGGTTGTTTCTAATAACTTAAGAATTAACCTGGACAAAACTTTATTTATTTTTTTTGGTCCTAAAATTCGTACAGCCATTTATTATCCTATCATAGTACTAAATAATATATTAATTAAAAGAGTATATTCTGTAAAATTTTT